TTAAAAGTACAGTATCTGCATCTTTGGCAGGGACTCCTTGGCGCTAATGGGCTTCAGCCATTGCCCTTCGTCCCCTGGGCATGACTCAAGCTGCTCTCAAGGGGGAATCACCAGAGGCAAGGGTGTTCTTAAAAAAGCGGTCCTCGAAAATGGCATGTGTTGCCTCTTGATGTCCCGTGCCAAAAGTGGGGCCGCCATTTTGAGACATCCCCATATGGGTGGCTCGTCTTATATAGCCTATGGACCACAGAATGACCACACGGTGTTCCTCTTGGTTTCCCTTTTCACCAACGCGTTTCACGATTTATTTATTTATTTTGCGAGCTTTGTGCGGCTTTCTGCGGGAGTTGCTCGGCTATTTGCGTGTGTTTTTCCTTGCTTAGGCGTTTGAGGGAATTTGGGGGCGTTTGCGTTGCAAAATGAGGCACAAACAGAAACTACAAGAAACAACAAGTACTCGTTGGAAAGTCCAGGTGAGACATCTTCAGAGCCATGGGAGGCAGTGACTGTTCACGCGGAGGGCTGCTTGGCTTAAACAATGAGTCTCGAACTTTTTGTTTACCTCTTCCTGAAAAGTATAATTCTAAAGTCCATGAACTCAAGAAGTGAGTGCTGGGATCGCTGTCACAGAAATGGAAGTGGCAAATGATCATGGACGAAGGAGGGGGGGGGCGGGTTCTGGGGAGGAAGGCCGAATAGCGCACATTAGAGTCACAAGAAAAACCTGGTACTCAAAGCGTGTACCTAAACCAATGCAAAGAAATTCAAGAGCGGATATCCGCATCTGTTCATTTCCAGGATACTTCCAACTAGTTACCTTGCCCTATAAGTTGGATGGCATTGTAACAGGTTCCAACAACTGGGTTCGGATGCGAGTGCTCTTTGGTACAAGCGATCGGACCTGTTTGTTGAAGGTCACATCCAAACACCATCTGATTTACGAGGGCATCCTCCAAAACAGCTGGCTACAAGCAACTGTTTAACTGGCCCGTAAGCATCTTTCCACATTTGCCATGGGTTAAGTGTCCCCTGAATTCGCTCGTCGGGACGCCGTGGGCTGCCATCAGCACGTGCCCGAAGCCGTGCTCGACGAGCAGGCTCCGCGCCCCGGCGAATGGGGCCTTGGCGAACGTGGTTTTGTTTTGATCCCCGATGACTCACTGTCACTCAATTGCCCAAACGACGCAGAAATGAAACGTAAACCTTGTGGGGCCGTGACTAAACATGGACCAAAAAGGAGTAAAACAGAAGGTCATAAGGTCGGCTTTGGGCAAGTGAGGTGTTGACTCCAGATGAATCAAACTGTCCGATTGCCTCTAAAATGGAAACCCTGCATTAATAATCCCCTGGTTGGTTCATTTTGCTCTAGCATGGCTTGCCAGTTTTTAGGCAGGCCAGTGATCAAAGCCTGTGAGTCAAGCGGAACCCGAACTTGTTGGATCGAGTAATCAAAATGTCAGATTCGTAGGAAAAGCATATAAAGGATTGCCACCGTGGGCGGTTTTTCTGGGGGGGTATGCCTTTGTCAGTCCAGGGCCAACATTGAGCAGGCCAGTAGTCAAAACCTACCAAATTTACAGAAAGAATCCAAAAATGGGAACACCAATTCAAAAGTCGGTTCCCCAACCCCCCAAATGAAATCTACGCTCATGGAGGTGTCGTTGTGTTTTGTCCTGTGAATGGCGATACTTGGAACAAAAGGCCGACCTTGCCACATGGCCTGAAACACGCTGGAATCCGGAAGTGTTCTTGGTTGCTCGTTGGCTTTGGAAAACCCGCTGTTTTTGAAAACATGTCGTTTCCACCTGCAAAGGGAAAAAGGACCTTGCGCACGGGCACACCAATTTGTGGATTTGCAGACTGATATTTGATCTGGACTTGCTCGTTGCCCGGAAGGCCGACAAACGGCTCGGCGAGGTGGTGTTGGTGAATCATACACTTGTGCCATTGACATCGAGCTTGAAAAACCATATGCACCTTGAGAGAATCTCTCTTTTGGGGAGCACTTGGTAGGGGAGCAGAAGTGGTGGGCGAAATACGGTTCTCAAGCTGGAATTGAGAAATCTTCAACTAAGGAGCTTTTGTCGTGGATGAGCTGCTGAGCTCTAGATACCCCCATGTGAGCTCGTTTCAGTTTGCCTAGAAAGATTTGATGTGCTTGGCAAAGGTCAACAAGCGCCGCTAGTCTTATACAACCTGCAATCTGGGCATTTTCCAAATCGGGAAGCACCGAATTAGGAGGAGTCCCCGAGAAGCATCCTAAAATTGAGTTAGTACCAACTCAGAATAATCATGCACCCGTCTAGAAATCCATATCCGCTGCTTCGTGGCCGTCTAGACATTTTGGCAACCATAACTGGTGAAGCTGGACATTCAACACCCTGGAACTTGAAACGACCATGAATTGTGATTTCCCACACACCAACAATGAGGTAGTTGGTTGACGGAAAATTGGGCCATAACGACTCGCAAATCTGGCCCCATTGCTTTGCCATTGTCA